AAAGTTGAGTTTGTGTTGTTTTCTCGAATTTTCACCGGCTCGAACGGCGTTCCACAGCAGCGCGCCCAGAGCCCATAGAAATGCATGTACAGTGGTGCGCGTCTTAGCAACATGGAACGTCTTGTGACGTAGCTCCGCCCCCGAGGATACGGTATCGCAGCTGCTAAGTAACTGGAATTATACTGTAACAGCGCCATCTAGCGTGGAGACTCTCGTCGAATTTCCTGATAAAAGAGCAACCGATGATATATTATTATCCTATATAGTATGGATACGATATTATTAGAAAATATAAATACCGGAAAAATGGTTTATTGGTTATATTTCATAATATTTAAATGCCATGGAAGAGACATCATATCGAGGGTTTGTTAACAGAAACTTACACTCAACCATATCAAGAAGCTGTTCTTGACGTAAGTTTACGTTGTTGGTGTTAATTTGATGTTGGTGTACGACAACGGTGTCACCAAAAAAAATGACTAACCGAGTGACAACCTCTGACGAAATTTGACTTGCGTTCAGTAAACATACCTGACGAGAATGTAATTCCCGAGATTGCATTCTGGGTGTAATCCGCAGGTAAGGTCGCGCCGTGTTCTTCATCTATTAATATGCCTAGAAAAATAACAACATCATTACACTCTATATCGAAAATAAATATAGTGTGTGGTATTCTGGAGCTTAATTTTCTACTATCTCAACTCTCTGCGTGGTTTGTGTTTCATATTAGGTATGTCACAGAAACTGATTATCAACAACAGTATTGATGGGGATGGTTATTTAAACAATAATGAACGACCCGCCAACCCATAAATTTGGAGAAAAATCCACTGTGAACGGAACAGTTTAACTGGCCCGTGAAGCCGAATAATTTGAAATGTTTTTCTGGATTTGATTTCCACAATCATATATGGCAATTAAGAAAACAAGTAAAACACTAGTTTTAATCCATCAAATATTATTGTATTTAATTCATTTACATTGCGAGTGAACGAGTGACTGACGTGTGGTGTGGAACAGCATTGCAGTGATCGCCCGAGCGAACGGCACACCATGACTGGTACGCCGTATACAACGCTACGCTAGTTGACCAGCTGGATCGACTGTGCGTAGGGGTGCACACCCGGGTACATGTACGTAGTCGTATCGTTGCTCCATCCCACGAGTGTTTTAAAACCATCAAAGTAAATGTTATTGGCAACTGTCCTGTCTGTGTAATAGTTATTTTCAAATTCTACGGGAGGCCGGTGATTTGACGAATACTTTGAAACCAAACGAAACTTACAGGCATAGCGAGCGAGCGAACGAACATAACCGGGAAGCTAGTGGGTGTGAGCATGGAGGTAAAAAAACCCTCCATGGTGTGAGCCATCCTAGAAGGTGAACCAACAGTGATTTTAATCTCATTGAATAAATAAACAGATACACACCTGAGAACACGAATACTTTCATTTATTTATGCAAAATGTGCCCGGACTGTTACATCATGGAACTATAGTTATAGTTCCATGGTTACATTTACCGGGAGTCGACGCCGAGGAAATACAAGTCACGTCTGCCTTTCGTCGATCTCGTTTCGCAAATTGTGTAATACGGGTAGTACTACTCACTACAAAAACAGAACTAATTCATCTTTCTGTACTCGTAGGCATACATGTACCCTAATTTCGTTTATTGCATTTGCTTGAATAATCACTCGACTAGCGCCAATGCGTGCCACAGAATCGTGCAAGTGTCAGCCTTGCTTTAGTCACAGCCACTCTACTAGACTGTGCTTTAGTGTACGGTATAGTAGCATACTCGGTGGAGTTGCGTAGTCGGGACTAGAAGTTGCATTGTCAGTAGTAATCGACTACTCGATTGTAGCATGGAACTATAAACCCCCTTTTTTTTTTCCATGATTGTAGCCATATACTTTATGTATGTTGAGAGTTGTTCGCACTGTCGGATAATTAAATATGTGTTATTTGATGGCTGAAGAATGACCAAACTTAGAAAATTTAGCAATATACAATACCACGGGAACCTTCATAACATTAACCCTTTTGCACCGAGGTCAATTTTTTTTCAATGATTTAGATCGACACTGTTTGCAGTAGCCACAAGTGACAACATATATTTAACTCATCGCGGCAAACTATTTAACGGTACAACTTTATTATTTCACGGCCAAATTATATTATTAAAGAGCAAAACACTATTATTTCACAGCAAAACTCCACAATTTGACGGCAAAAATGTAATTAGTTGAGGCAAAGCTCTGTTACTTTGCAACAACACTCTATCGCTTGTCGCGGCAAAACTCTCCGCGGTTCGGCAATACTCTCCATCTCCCACGGCGGAAGTTGCTATTATATCCCATAATCCCCAGTTCTTGGAGTCATTTTTCAATCAAACGTTAGACTGGTCAATGTCGACACGGTTTATTAACTGTTCAATCCTCTGTGTGTTGCCGTGAAGTAATACATTTTTGCCGTGAAGTAATAGTGTTTTGCCGTCAAATAATAAAGTTTTGCCGTCAAATAATGGAATTTACCCGTCAAACTGTGGAGTTTTGCCGTGAAGTAATAGTGTTTTGCCGTCAAATAATAAAGTTTTGCCGTGAAATAATAGAGTGTTGCCGTCAAATTGTGGAGTTTTGCCGTGAAGAAATAGTGTTTGACCGCCAAATAATAAAGTTTTGCCGTGATGAAGTAAATATATGTTGTTACTTGTGCCAGTGGGCCAACGTGGAAATTATTGTGAACGAGATCCAAATTTAATAATGTACACAATTATAGATAAAATGCAACAAAAGTTTGACGGGAAAATCTATGGCGTTCCAAATATTAATGACGTCAATTTTATAACTCCATTTAATAAAATTCAAGTTACAATTAAATAATAGTAACTAGTACACTGTGGTATGTAGATAATGCGCAGCACATTCCACATACAGGTTGAATAACACGCATTGGGCAACTGGTGAGTTGGTGTTATTATTATTCAATTAACTGCATGTTGTGTCGTCATCGTGACATCTGTTAGTGTTGGATTTCGCACATCCCAAAATCACCGAGATACTTCGTTTATACTTCAGTAAATACCAACACAGTGAAACGTCATTGCTCAAGTGTTTGTGTCCCAGTTATCGGTTTTGATTGCTCTATATAAAATCTGGAATATTCTATCGTTGTGATAGAGGTGTTCCTTGCACAATGAAGAAAGTAATTGTATACGGCTGATTGCCATTTCATTGACTACGAATGACAGTCGGTGCAGCTATACAATTGGGCGTTATCTCAATATACTATTGACTGTGTCGGTTTCATTCTCGTCTTGGTATCTTTAACGTAAACTCAGTGAAGGGGTCTGTCAGGTCACCTGTTATCCTCAATGCACATTCATACCCACTTTTCCTCAAAGTTAAAGGCATAAGATAACACGTCAGTTATACGTTGTGTAAACCAGTCGTAGACAATTGCACGTACTCTGACCAGCACAAATGTATAATAAACAACCCTGGTATCGAACCGTCTCGAATCAGATATAAACAAATGACTTGTACTCCGGAGATTGGTACTACATATTTCACTCAACCGATTTCTTCGACTTTACTTTGTTTTGTGGACACCACATCTTACCTTACTTTGTAAATATGAAGTACGTTTATTAAGACTGTGCCAGTGACAAATCAATATGCCGAGCTGCCATGATCCATCCACCCATGTGAGGGTACCCGATAAAAGTATATAGCATCTTATCCACAATAACACAAAGGGAATTAGCGCGGAAAACAACAACATTTTATAGGTTGAATAAAAGTTAGAATGTATTTATCCAATGATTGGAATCTTTCAAGTCATACTTGGAAAAAAAATGTATATTGATCAATAAGTGTCGACGATAAAAGGTTGATATCCAGAAAACTCAATTATTATTATATATTTGATATGAGCAATATTATCAATTCATTGATAATTGGTGTGTGAAATTATGCTATTCATTTTTGGGGGAGAAAATGGTAAATTCTACAATTTACGACCAAAAAGTATTCCAACTTTTGGTCCAAACAAATAATTGGTTGACAACTTTGTAACAACGAGTTAGTCAAATTAATGGAAAAAAAACGTGTTTGGCAACACTGTTTTCAGAGACGCTGTTATTAGTGAATGGATGGAAATGTTGAAGCGTATTTGGTCACGTGAACATCATTATATTTGACAACAGAGATTATCTCAGATAAATAGATTGGTTGGTTGCCATGTAAGACTGACATGAACTACCAATGCTAACTTTTATTAATCGACATCGCAAATTATGAATCATGTGCAACAGAAAATTAAACCTACTGATAATCGTAATTCAGAGAATGTAAGGAGTGAGTGAATTGAGCAATGACAACATAGTTTTGCTAACCATATAAACAGAAGTGTCATGTGATCACTTGCGATGGCGCTGAAATCAAACGAGTGACTCAATTACAGGAATAACACTGGAACAAAGCGCAAGTGATCTTAATAGCATAATAGAAACTATTTTGACAAAACAAGGATCGAATAAGAGAAGCAAATCGCGAAAACATATAATGCTCCTACACAATGTTACACAGTCAGAAAAATTACAAATACACTTGCTGAATCAATATGGTATGGAATCAGAACACCAAAATGGCCGCTAAGTAGCAAGTGCAAAAAAATACTGATAAGTATCAATTACAAGATCAGTTTCAACGTAAGAATTAGTGACACAAAACTAACAGACTATGCCACATGTAATTGCAAATATACATGGCGACGTCAGTTAATTTACCCGTACATAATGACGGATATGCTTTTATATTTCTATAGAAATGAAAGACAAATTACTTTTAAAATATCACAGAACATTTAAATAATAGGAAATAACAAAGATTAATATTATTGCAAGCTTTAGATGTTATTGCATGTGTTCTCATTTGATGGTAACTATAAAAACAGTTTGAATGAAAGAGGATTTCAAAAGTAACGAAATCGGTTACCGTAGGTGTTGCTATGAAAACACACGTTAACAGTGTACGTACATTTAATATTTAGATTTGAGGCCAGCGTGAATTTCAAAAGCATAATACAACAGCGTGTTAACGTACACAGCATAGGTATATGAACGTATTTCTTAAACTCTTTTCTAATACGTTTATCTGTACTGCAAAAAGAAATTACAATTTTACCAGTAAGACTGCATAGACTAATACAATCCATCCAGACATTCCCAAACATCTGTCATATCTAACAAGCGTAACCCGTTTCCCCAGGCAACATATCATTCTAAATGCAACGATTTAATAAATTATACTCACACATTACCATCCACGGCACCAATAATAATTCAAAATACCAATTACTCATCGTCAGTGTATGACAAAAATGGTAAATATAGAAAATCCAATGTGCGAATTTCATATATCACCGAACGATACATTCATTAAAAATCAATGTGTTCGTATATTAATAAACAGACTGGTCAGAAGATCCAAACAGACCTGTTATAAATAGAGATACATGTCTGATTGAATGTGACGACATATATACTACTGACAGTAACGAGGTCAGTACGCAGGTTAATCAGGATCATGCACATATACAAGAGAAAGTTTCTGCTAAATTCCTGGATTTTATGAATTCCCACTAAACAAAGACGTGAGACTGTTTTCGCAATGAAGGCAGTTACATTTGTAGTTTCAGGGGTTCTAAATATTGTCCCCATCTGGCGTCCAATTATATAGATCTAGTCTATCCGTTTCGTTTATATTTACTTGTGCTCATTCGAGTACATTTGTATAATGCGACAATTGGCATTTGAGATACAAAATGCTAAGACAAGTCTTATTTTCAAAGTTTTGTTTGTACAAAAAATATTGACGACACTATCACCTTACTGTTGATTGCGCAACAATTGCACGTGTCGGAGGCAATTTATCATTGTTATAAATACGTCATTTGTTACGGTGGCTAGCAGAGCTTGACTTACAACTGTATTATTCGATATCTCATACATATGTTAATTCATTACAGCAGCGACTGCAATGTAATGTTTTGTCCACCGCGATGTCTATTGCATATTTGTAATCCAAAACAACTCAAATATACGTCATTTATATGACTTGCCGTTTTGGGGACATGGAAGGTTTCATTACGTAACATTGCCTACTTGTGCAAAATGAGATTCTTAAACAGCTTATGCGTGTTACCTTTGAAGGCATATAATTTGTTCTGTCAACAGTATTGCACACAGTTCGTAATGAGAAATTTAGCTTCTGAGTTAAAACCCAACCATTGTGTTGTGTGTTATTGGCACATATTGCACTTTCAACACTACAAATTCGTTGGGATCTTTAAACTTTCTCACCGAAATTTCGACTTCTATTTTGCTTTCATTTTTGACGATTCAATTTTTTTGGTTTTATTTCAAATCTGCGCCTCTCCATGTATTGGGTTGCATTTTGGTCAACCTGTGAACAACAATAATATGACAGTTGAAAACGGCACGGCCTCGACCTGACACTATTTTCCAGAGTGATGTGCTTTTCTTTCGGCCGTATTCTCTGTAAGGTCCCGAGTTTGTGAAGGCCACTCATTTTCATAATCTGCGGTGAAAGTACCGAAAGTTATTTCGTGGAACTAATTTATATACTTTTTATAGCGTATGATATTTTTTTGTTTTTGCAAAACTAACTTTGTACTTCTTAGATTTCAAGTATGAGTGCCAAAATATACTGTGGCATTTAAATATATATCAAATGACAAGAAAAATCTTCTTTGAAAGGAACTATTTTATCTCATTTGCATATTAGTTGTAGAAAATTGACAATGTTGTACTGAGTAATCCGCCATATTTATTTAATAATAACTAGAGTGAATTTACAGGTGTTTATACGATTGCATTAAAGATACAATTTTAATGGACGTTATTTAAATAATGAAGTTCTATAAGCTCAGTGATACTCCTATAATGCATTTCAATATTATGACAAATGTGACGTCACACGAACTGAATAATGACGTAATGATGACATCACATTGAGGTATGTATTGTGAGAAATAACCCTACTGTTTACAAGTATACCACTGGAATATTAGTATAATGAAGAATGAGTTCAATATTATAGCTTCATAACTATATATGATGTTGCATGTTTCTATAGACTTTGTCTTTAACTATAAATTGATTATCAGACGGTGGTTAGTGGTCTAATACACAACCACACAGAATGATTATTCAGGGATAAATTGACCTTGACTCGAATCTTGCACTATTGTTTACTCCTGTCTACTTTTGTCTGTGTGGCATGTGGATTTGACTTCATTCTTTAAGACTGTGTTCATTGTTTTCAGCACGTACTAGGGACTGTGTTTTCAGACAATCCAATTGCATATTTGTTTATTCCGCGGGACATGCATTGGCAGGTTATTAGGCACGTGACAATGCCAGTGTTTAATTAGGCAGCTTTAGTCGACGTGAAATCACGAAATAATCAGTTAATTTAATTAGTGCGCGATATTGTTTAGTAAACATACGAAGAAACGTGTGTGTGTGTGTGTGTGTGTGTAATCATAGACCTTAGAAAGAGATCTCTTTCTAAGGTCTATGGTGAAATCTACACAAATTAAGATTAAACAAATGAAATAAACAACCATGCTATTCATTTTTGAAAAGCGCAACCACACCCGTCCCGCTGTGCAGTCTGCTTTCTGATTATGACGCGAATGAGGCGTGCAATAGACTGCTGCGCAATTGTCTGTCAATTCAGGCCTAGGACTAGGCTGGTGTTGTCCACTATGACATTCGCGTTCGTACAGTGCACATGCTATGGTTACAGAACAGAATAGAAGTAATAACAGACATTGAGTGCGAGTTATGAAAACTCCAATTCAAACCACATGAATGTACGACCTTCGAGTATAAAACTAATATAGAATATAGCATTGATTCACAATTCAATTGGAAGAACAAGCACCAATTGTATTATCACGGTGGTAAAACAACGCCCTCAATGGGTACGGTAAAAACAAAATGTTGTCTTTTGAAATTAATTTTTTTTTTCATTATCGACCAGTTATGTACGATCACGACGAACTGAACGTCATTTATTTTTAATGAGACTTGAAAATAATGTTCACAGAAAGCCATGTACGGAATCATCAGATTTCGTTAGCAAGATACAATGTCCGCTCTGCAATGACATAATTATCCCATGACAACAATACCGGCTCTTTATTTAGTTTGGTATTTTAAACTAGTCTGAACAGATAAAGTAGCTTTCGATTTCCTACTTAATTGTATGTTCATTTGCAAACACGTTTGTATAGAGTTCTGATATGAAATAATCCAGGTCTTATTCGATTTACTGCGATCGGCAGAAATTCAGAATACGGCAAATCTGGAAGTTTTGCAATTCGCGCATACTCAGATTTACATAATAGACCTAAGACAACAAAGCTATATAAATCACACCAAAGTCCGAATTTAAGCTCTACACTTACAAAGTTGATTAGAGCCGACCGAAAATTGAGCCGAAAGTATATTTGCGGTTTGTAAATTGTCGGTTTTAATGTGTATGACTGTCATACACATTATCTTTCATGATTTGGTGACTATATGGTATTTGTAATAATTCTATTTCGTGAAAGTTACCGACACTCCGAGATATTTTCACTCCTAACTATTGTTGAGATTTTCACTGACTCGCGGTTTTGCAGTATGACTTATAACGCCCGCTACCAATGGTCTTGCGAAACAAATGCTATCGAACAAGACATTACTAAAATCAACAAACTTCGATGAAACTTTTTTTACGCGCATTCGTTCCCACTCAGTCATATGATGACAGCTGAGGTGTATGCATTAATTGATCCAACTTCACTGCTTTTCAAGGTAGTTCATCAAAAATAGTACCGATCGCGAATTCGTTTGTTGTGGTCGACGTCAACAGATTAAGTGCCTCGAAAAATGCCTTTGCACTCCGAGTTGTTAGTTATTAGGTAATTTATTAAGAATGTGATAGCTTACTGTATGCATTTATGACGCGGTCTACTAATGACATCGTACGTCTCGCCAATCAATCACAACCTAACTGTACGTAAAAAACAGGAAAAATGAACCTAAGATATATTTACCATCGAATTTCACTACAATATCTATTACGATGCAACACCTTTACGTCTTAGTTCGATGTGATTTCACAAACACGCTCTACAGGTTAATGCGCACTATTGCAATAATTGCGTTCAATGACCCCACGTCTCACATTTTGGATAGTGACGTCACTTACAAATAAGCCAAATAAATATTACAACCGGGACAACTATTCCACAGACAGCCATAGACGTAATAAGAGCGTGGTACGTGTTATCAGAAGTCGGCGCATTGGATTTTCCCAAATTGCTTTTTTGCGAAAACTCGTGTGGGTACTTACAAGCATGATTAGGGAATTGGTGTTACTAGTTATATTTAGTGAGTATACAATTCTTTGTTGTAATATATTAGTATATATATATAAGGCGATTTGAAAATAATCAACCGATGATATGTTAAATTGATAATCATACATTGAACATTCTTGTTCACACTCTCATTGCTCCACATGAGAAAACTGGTCTCGTATTTGACGACGCGCTGTCAAATGCGGAAAGTATTAAGGCTTGAACCTACTCGTGTTTTTATTTTATTTTTAAATTGAATTTGATTGCTGACCATCGACTTTATTTTCATATCTACAATTGCAGGACATTCCATTAATCGTGCAAGTATATCCATAACGCAATCGACTTAGGAACATTATTATTTTATTTATTGAAAATTTGACGCCTTCCAAAATTTCGAAAGTAGGTAAATGCTACGCCATCTTACGTAGAATTGGCACACTTTCAATTTATTGGGAACTGTGGGAATAAAATAGTTTAAAATTGGCTTTTCACATAAAAATGTTAGTTTACAGAAATTAATATGTGAAAATTAACGTGATTTGATTGTGTGCACATATATACAGCTATTACAATGACGTCGTACTTGTACTAACTGTATTTTTCAGGCTTAACTTTTTAATGTAATAATTTTAAAAGTGATTTGTTTAGAAATTTCTCCCACTGTTTCCCTGACTCAACGAGAAACCATAGCTTTCTTTTTATTTCTAGTCAGTAAATGACCAATACAAACCTAGCAATTGGTGTTATTGTGAAATCATGCTGTGCGAATAACTGAAGATGTGAGATTTACTGCATTCATGTTTATTATCGATTCAGAATTCAGATTTGAAATAATTGTATAATTATTTGTGTTATAATTGTCTTGATTGATCAATTAAAATTACGTACGTAAATATAAACGATAAATAGTACGGGAAATTTGTCAACATCGGACAATTCACGTCGTGTCACCATGACTGGCTACCCTACAAGCTGATCAACGAGCTTGTCGCTTTAAGGTGGTGTGCACTTTTTGCTTGTTTGAAACAAGAATAACAATTGCTATTCTGTGACGTAATTGGAAATTGGCACTATAGAACATTTGTTCTTGTATATAGAAGGTTCGGTCACCCAGAATTTGTGGTTGGGTTGTCATTCGAACTGAAAGACATTGTGATGAGTACTTGAGTAATACCAGATTGTTATTATATAAACACTGCCTAGATGTACACATAACCACGGTATTCTTAATATGGGAGTGATAATAGCCGTGGTATAACTACTCAGACAGTCGCGTGTAGTCAATGAAACCGCAATCAACCGTGCCGCAATCAAGAACGTGCTGTAAACAAAAACACCACTACGCCCGTTCGATTGTTTATTGTATTTGTAAATGAAAATATAGAAATTAATGTAATTTGAAACCATAACGTCAAAAAGGGGACTCCTTTAGCGAATGTAAAATATGGTGTGTTATTACAGACAGTAAATTTCTTGGTGATGTCAAATATCGAAGTTAGTTTTAAAAAAACGTATTTAATTGTATTTTGAATAAATCACTTTATAGGTTCACATTTGTTGTCCAAAAACGTGATTTACCCTTATTCAACGTCCATGGTTTGGCGACTACTAATATTATCTTGGACTAACGATAATGTGAAAATATGGTTTTCAACTGATTTTGATTTATTTTGTAGATCCTCTGAGGATGACAACTGCAGTACCTTCAACTACCCCACCATCTGCAACATTCCCAGAATTCATTTCGGGGATCACTTTTAGCCAAGGTAAATCGAATAACACTAAGGTACACATGGACGTGAAAATACTTACTATTAACACACTTTATTATTTTAGCAATTTGTTTTCTATTGTATAACATATTTATTAACTATGTTTTTTTCTGATAGAGTTAGTAAACTTTGCATATGGTAAAACAGCGACTCAAGTACACATAATTGGTGGCGGGGAACCAGATCAAGCGGTAGACGGAGAGACGGGATACCTACAAGACGTGTCGTTAGGGGGCTGTACATCAACGAAATCTAAAGGCGCCACTAAGTGGTGGAAAGTAGAAATGGAAATGGACTATATAATAAGATACGTTGTTGTTTACAACACGGAAAGTGAGTACTGTTATATGATACAATCCGCAAATAAGTTTAATGCGTTTGGAAAATTAATATCATAACACTAAATTAGCATGGCGTGCATATTGATTGTTCATTTTATATGAGTTCTCAAGAAATTACATTAATTAATCGAAGTAATACATTATAATAATGCGTTTCTAATATAGCATTATCAATAAGTTGAATTACAGACTTATAGCACGCATATACATAAGCAACACGTGATTCGAATTCACGACCATGAAATACCATGGAATACATTGTTGTTTGAAACGATTGTCTAATTGAAATTGTTATGAAGCATGTCTTACTTTATTCCACAGTTAACAACAGTGTTCTGAACAACGCCATAGTGGGTGTCAGTCGTGACGACATTACATATGATACATGTGATATTATAACAAGTGATATGGTATCAACATCGCGTGTAATAGTTATGGAGTGTGATCACGTGATGGTTGGACGATACGTCAAAGTTACAATCAATAAAGAGGGTACATCATTGACCTTGTGTGAAGTTGAGGTGTATGACAAAGGTATGTAATCAGTATATTTTTTATTATATTACAATCACAGACAAACGACGACACATACACTAGTACATTAAAGCACGGTTCATTTAAGTAATTTCAGTCAGTCTATTATTTAAGGTAGTATTAATAAAAAGTATTACAGTATTGCTAGACTTGGTTTACATAAAATTCGTGAAAATTTCCATCGCCCGTGTGAATGGAATGAGCTAATGAGTCAGTATTTGCTGTCCTGGCGACAACAATAATTACCTTGCCAGGAAACTATGTACATCTAAAATATGTCGTCAATATTGGTGTTCTGGAGTCAGCGGGTGCTATTGGTGAATGTCTGCTCTACTTCTCTGTATAATAATTTGTGCATTGAAACCTATTGACTTGATTACATATATGAGGTGCCCATAGTAATATAAATGACCAAACAAACAAACAAACACGAAGTACAACGAAATGAACATCGTCGTGAAAACCCGGCTTGTTTGCGCCACCTAATGGTTAGCCTAGCAAACCTAGATAAAATATGCCTACATTGTAGTATTCAGTAGCTTGCAAATGCACCAATCAGCGTGCCTCCCTTCTATTACAGGGAACCAATCAATCTACCTATAGTAGTAGACTATCCGTTTCTTGCTTCTAAAATACGCGCTGATTATATTGGTCATTTGCTTCCATGTCGTTTACACCTGAATATTTAAATCTTTACCATGATGCCTTGCAGAATATGAACAAATATAGAAGAAAAATATTTAAAAATGTCATCTTCAGAATTATTCATTGTCTGAATCCATAATTTATGATATACGCATAATATCCACGGAATAGAGGATAAGTCTGAAATATGCAAATAAGATGCATATAAAATAACTATCAAGTCCAATTTCTTTTATTCCTGTTTCCAGCAAATAATGCACACTTTACAGAAAAAGAAATGTATCAATGCTTAAGACATCCAACACGAAGAACGCCAAGCACCGTGCTGGAGAAATCTCACATGTAGCACCAACAAAAAAATGTGTTATGTTTTCACTGGTCGTTGACGGTAAAGTGGCCACTTGCATATTGCATTTAAACATCTGAATGCATAATTGCAGCAATATTGGAGTGTATATATTCAATTTCGTGGTTATCCAACACGCCTGACAACATTTAACCTCTCCTGTAGTGAAGAATTGGGGTTTGTCCACAACTACCATGCCACTATTTAAAAGTACAGGCACACCATTTCTCATTACTGTATTGGCTGCTTGATTAAAAACGTATAGTGTGTGGCAAACTACGAACAAAATCAGCATGTGAGACACCACAAGGAAAAGATTGAGTGTCAAATTAAGCCAAGGATCATAGCATTGTATTCCGACAGCTGGAAGGCCAAATGACACATGTTCATTATTTGTGTTCAACAATTGAATCATGAATCCAATTTTATTAAAACAACTGAGTATAAATTAAATTTCAAAATTTGAATCATTCGGCAACTAGTTTGATCATTTTCTTGCGGAACGTGTATCACAGTGTCATCGCTAAACATGCACGACGGTATTGTGAGCAACTTTGCCAGGACAACTTGGAACGGGTGACCACAATAAAGTCATCAGGCAAGAGATAGGACTAACATATCACATGGCTATACATGATAACGTGATCTTATTAACATGCATAACTGCAATATCTTATATGCAGATAGAGACATGTAAATAGTGTTATAAAGAAGGGCATGCGGCTATCGTATCAGATCATCTCATTAATTATGCGTATATCCAATTCCAAGAGAACTAGTTTAGATAGTCCTTATATATTGTCAAAACGGAAAACACAATTTGTATGAACTTTTAGTTGACCTTGAAACCTTTATTAACTCTGTTCATTTTTAATTAACAGTGAACCATTTTAGATACGCATTTATTACTAGCAGGATATTGGCCACATTAATTATGGGATTACATGTTAACGTGACCTCATTAATTATGCACATACTTAATTGTAATTTAACTATTCCACATTTACTACTAAATGCATACTGTTTAAACAACCTATTCAAAAGCTGGGAACAGATATCCATGTTCTCAAATACAATATTATGGAGTCGTTATTAGCAACAAACTCCGTGTCAGCTATACTTCTTGTGCTGCGATACTTTGAAGACCGGTCACAGCTACAAGGCAGCTCTATTGTAGTTTTCCTGGGCGATACATTCAGATTACAGCGAATGCAACACTTAATATACCTATATGCATACTATAATTATGCTTATAATTCTCCTCATTTGTATGCAAACGAATTTAGAGCAACACTCTTTTGTTTTCCTTTTATTTCAGACCCATATTCAGTCACGAAGTACAACGATTCAAACACTGTTCAGTGCAGCGATGGATCGATAAATTGCCATTTGGTAACCAATGCTTTCACTGAGACTTCCCCAACAATCAATACGTCATCCAGTGACGGCGATGTAACGTCAAGTGGTAAAACATTAGCATCGGACTGGGTTGTGGTACTGTAGGCTTGATGTCACTCCTAGCTCTTCTAATCTTCCTAATACGGTTTCTAAAGAAAAAGAAGAGAAAAGTGGAAGATGGAAGTGAACCTTGATGTTGGTCAAGT